TTATTTTGCCTCTGTGCTGTCATGTCTTAATGATGAGCAATTATATTTTAGACTGTTATACCTGGTGATCTGTATGAACAAGTCACCTAAGAAATAATTTGTGATGTGTAATCTAATGCAATTACAAAATATTATGCACTATGTCTCAAAAAAGAAAAAGTACAGTGCACTTCATCCTCTTTCCTTATCTTTCCACTAACAGATCTCACACTCTACTTCCGTGCCATCTCCTCACTGAGGTGGGCGTTACACTTCTGTAACACCCACCTCTGGATCACCTACAATCTGCTCACTGTCTTCTATTATTTGCCCTGCTTGGAGACACTGCCCTATGCAGGGCAAACCTGCTCTCTGGTGCCAACACATTGACTTTATGGCCGACATGTCGGTGTCTGAACGAAGTGACATCAGATTGATTTACAGGTGGGAGAAAGACCAATTTTTAAATACGTTTTTCCTCCAATCTATACGTTTTCTAGCAAATATGTTAGCATAATCATTGCTAAAACATTTTAAAGAGATACATAAATGGCAAGTATCTTTGAAAAACTGTATTTGTTTTGTTTGCTATTTCGAATTCTGTGGTTGCAGTCACAATATATATTTCTGCATAACAGTACTCATACTGCGTCAACATGAAACTAGGAATAAAGGATCAAAACCAAAAATAAATTATATGAATACAAATAAACGATTTCTTCTCCATGGTTTGATTGTAATACATTTTTTCGACTTCAAGAGAAAATAGTTAATAAAGAAAGTAAAATGTTTTCACAGAAGGAAAGGGAACTGTAACTAAAATTCAAACAGAGACAGAGGGCAGAAAAAAGAAGATTCCTGCTTTTTATATATTTATTTTTGAGTTGAGAAAATTGAGAAGGATGCCTTTTGACCAAGATAAATGGAGAAAAATAATGGAAACTGTTGTGCTATGATTATAGTAACTTATAGAGTTTTATTATCATATAACATTCTGCCGCACTTGAAATTAGAAATGATAGGAGATAAATTGAGAAAAAATGATGTAGGAGCTGTTAAACGTCTTGTCAGATTGTGTGAAGGAAATAGAAGCAATATTATGTTTTAAAACACCCTAAGCTATTTTTGTTTGTTTAATTGCTATTCGTATAAACTAGAATGTTATGAATGCATTTTTCTTATACATGCATACATATTGTTAACATGAATAGATAAATAATGAATGACATAAATCACACAGTAATGTCCATCTACATTCTCCTTTCTCCTACGGAAGAGCCTATTCACAGACATTTTACAAGTGGTCCTAAATAGAAATGATAGATTTAAAAGGAAAACATGATGCATTGCAACTAGATACGTATTCAGTAATTCTATATTACCTGATCACAGTATATCGTAGAGCTATATTTCCTGATGGTCATCTGTTAAGTAGGCAATACATATTTTTAATTTTGATTACAGCACTAGTCATTAGGAGTTTTGAGTACTGAATCTCTGAGGACTGAGGCGGTTTGGGAAAAATTCACAGATTTTATTTTGGGCTCAAGCCCTGCGTCTTTTTGACCATAGCAACACTCCTGTTTAGATGTTACTTGCAGGGTCTACCATTTCTATGAGTCTCTGCAGGTTTGTTAATATCTATGTTGATACTCAACACTTATTTCAAAGCCACTGTTTACATAAATTTATAGTCTTTTACTGATGTGCAGTTCCCCGTTTAAATGTATTATTCATTATATCTATCTATCTATTTATCTATCTATTTATCTGTATTTCAGCAGTCAGATTAAAAGTATAGGTAAGTGAAATTATTTTATGGCTGGTATTTAAAACATTGCATATTATATTAATGAAAAAATGGAAAATTAAATCCACATTAATGTTCAGAGGTTCTTCATCTGACTCCTCCTTTATTATGTTAGCCTGAATTTATTAAGTGGCATTTTAGTAGTGCCAGATGTAATTCAGGCAAAATCCTAGCGAAGATTCCAGAGAATGTGCAAACTCTGATATGGAACATCCAAACCAAGGACTCCATTGAAGTTGAAATTAATTTAGAATTTCTGGATGGTAGAAAAGTGAACAGAATTACCCAGATGGTATGGAAGTTTGATGAACTGCTTGAATATTTAAAGTCCGATGATTCTGCTGAATATTTTTTTATATATAACAGCTATCATTTTCTCTTCATTGGGCTTCTAAATATCTTTTTTGTCTCTGCATGGAACTGAAAATTGTTATTTTCTTTCAAGGTGATTCATTAAGGTTTTTAACAGGAGAATGCTTTAAAAAAATAAAAATTTATACATCAGGATTAAATATTATATGGCAGTAGATGGTATAACTTGAATGAAATGGTTTGAGTAGGTCAGGTAAATAAACAGTGAATGGGCAGTATGGTATCACCCAGTGGATATACAGTGTATGTGGAACTTTAAACCCCTTATAATACACAAGGAGATGTAAATAAAATACATATGTACACTAATCAGGTTGTAAATAAAAACAAATGGATACTCAAATGGTATTAAGCATCTTAGTACTCAAAGCATATCTTAATAGTGTTATAATTTCTGCTCTGGGGTATATGTAGAGAATGTGAGGAGTGTATATAGACAGCCTTTAGGGTAAAGGTAACAAAACACTGAAGATTATAAATTGCTGTAAAAGAGAAATATGTGCATAATAAGGGCTTCTAATACTAACTTATATGGCTAACAGCTACTATATACTCTAGCTCTCTGGATGTCAATCTAAGTGTTAATGATTCTATCAGGAATATTTAGAGTTGTCCCAATAAATGTACTGCGCAGAAAATTGAAATTCAGTAAAAAAATACATATTACATTAAGCTGGATACAAACAAACTATTAACTGGATACAAATGAACTACAAATACTTTTATAAATCCTACAGGAAAGGACTTGCTAAATAAAAATATCGGCCTGTTATTTCTAACATTAAAATGCTTTTGCTTTGCATTTTGTGACAAAGATAATAGGTATTATACTAGATCAAATATGCTATTATCTAGTAGCTGGTTCCATAAAAGTGAAACAATTTTATCTATGCCTTCAAATGCAAATGCAAAACAGCACAATTATCTAATGAACAATATAATAAAACAAATATTCCAACCAATGTTTAGCTAGTGTAAGCTTCAATAATGGCTTTTTTATTTTTTAAATATTGAAGGGGTAAAGGTTCAACCGATATTATAAAAATTAAAGGGGACAGGCGTTAAGTAAGTCAAACCAACCTGCACAAATATTAGCTCCTATGGTCCTAGCAGAGGGGTTTGAATATAATGCCATTATAGAACCATGATTCCATCCCTCTAACCCAAAGGATCTTAGCACATTGGCAAGATAGCCCCAACTGACCCTATTGAAGGCCTTTTCCGCATCTAAAGACATAGCCAACAGGGGTCTTCTGCTTTTATTGGATTGATAAATTATATCCAAAATTCTTCTAGTGCAATTACTAGCAGTTCTACCTGGAATGAATCCTATTTGATCCAGATCAATAATTTTTCTATTATTAACTTCATTTGCTCTGCAATTATAGAAGATTTTCATATCAATATTTATTAAATATATTGGTCTATAATTACTCACATCTGATGGATTTTTATTAGGTTTCAGTATTGGCAAAATATTTGCCTGAAGCAACTCCTTAGGTGTTGTTGAATTAATGGCTATTTTGTTATACAGGTCGGTCAGCGCTTGGCCAATTCCTTTTTTAAATATTTTGTAAAATAAATTAATAAATCCATACGGGCCTGGTGTTTTATATATATTCAATTTCTCTATTTCCCTCTCAACTTTGTTAAAGGACAACTATAGCACCAGAGAAACAAACTTGTTTTCCTGGCACTATAGTGCCCTGAGGGTGCCCCCACCCTCTTAAATCTTCTTTTAATTTTTTTTTATCTTTTCCTTTCTTCCCTCTGTTCTTCCCTTCCTTTTTTTCTCCTTTATTTCTCTTTGTTTTTTCTTCCTTTTACTTTTTCTCTTTTTTTTCTCCTTTTTTTTTTTGCAGGAAAAATATATTTACTACTTAAATTTATCTAATTACTGTTT